TTTTTTTTTTTTTTTTTTCTTAATTGGGTAAAAAAATTAATAAAGTTCCTGTTTTTTTTTTTTTTTTTTTTTTAAAGACAGGATCTTGCTATGTAGCTCAGCTGGTCCTGAAGTCACAGCAGTCCTCCTACCTCAGTCTCCCCAGTGCTGGGATTACAGGTGCACGCCGCCATGCCCCACTGGTTCCTGATAATGAATCATCCTTACATTTCTGGATAAATCCTTTCAGTCTATAGTATCATATTTTAATACTGAAATGCCTGGGTTTGATTTCCTGCTATTTTGTGTTATTTATCACAATCTTACAGACTGATTTTGAGTCGTATCTTTTTTTTCCTCTAGTTTTGGTAGGAGGATTCTGCCAGCCTTGCATAATACTGTAGGAAACTTTCCTATTGTTTCTGTGTTGTGTGTTTCCTACACCTGTGAATAAGTTGCACAGTAGGAATGAAATCCTTACATGGTAAGTGATAGCCTGTGTTGGATGGGCTGAGCTGTTTGTACTTACCGGTGCAGGGTGATAGAGGCATGCTGACTGGTCAGAAGCAGGGCAGAGGGTTACTGGGGAGCACTTCTAGACACGGCCACATCTGACACGTGTGCGCTAAGGGACATGTGCCCTAAGGGACGAGCCACAGACCTAGGGGAGTAAAGGAGCCTGTACTGGGGAGTGCAGGGCTTCATCCTGTGGAGGTGGTACCTGAGGAGGCGGCTAGGTCTGAGGTCTGAGTGCTGCCTGCCTCGGCCTCCTCACTGCACCGTTGTGTGGGCTGAGATATGTGAAGAGCAGCACCATGTGGCTCCCCCGCCCCTTGGTGAGCTATACCCGCAGGCTGCTGGCTACTGTCTCACTGCCTCCTTTCCTCTCGGAGCTGGAGCTGGCCATAGAGCGGGAGCCCCACAGGAGCCCAGAACCATCCTCTCTTGTGTGTTTTCCTGTCAGCAGGACCTGCAGTTCCTGGAGCAGAGGCTGGGGTGTGTGTCCTGAGTTCTTTGTGCTGTTCTGCATCTGCGGTTTCCCTCCTTCCCTGCCTCCTTCCCCATGCACAGAGGTGGTGGAGAAGCTCACAGGTGAAGTTCTCTGGGCTTGCATCTGCTCATTGTTTTTTCTTTTTCTTTTTTTTTTTTTTGGTGGGGGGAGGGTACTGGGGGTTGAACTTGGGACCTTGGCACTTGTGAGGTAGGTGGCCCCACCACTGAGCTAAATCCCTGGCTCTCTCTCTCTTTCTCTATATATATATATATTTAAATGCTAGATAAAGGGCTGGGGATGTAGTTCAGTGGCAGTGCACCTGCCTGGCAAGTGCCAGGTCCTGATTTGGATTCCTGGTACCGGAAAAAAAATGCTAGATTAAAAAAATACTTGTGAGACAATTTTCGTTTATTGGTATAACTGGTATAAAACAAACAAACAACTTTCCAGTGTGGTGGCACACACTTGTAATTCCTAGCACTCTGAGAGACTGGGGCAGGAGGATCTCGACAATTTAGCAAGACTGTCTCAAAAAAAGGGTTGGGGGCTGGAGATGTCATTTACTGCAGAGCCTCTGGGTTCATTTCCTGGTACTGAAAGAAAAAAAAAACCTTTCAGAAAGGACTGGAGTGTTCAGTGACTTGGCAGTGCTGTGAAGGAGGTGAAGGTGGACCTCTCCCGAGGGCCCTCAGACAGAGTCCTAGGGAAATAAGCGTGCCCCACTCAGGTTAGGATGAAAAGTAGTGCACACAAGAAACAAGCCCCACAGATGAGAAAAGCAGCACCTCCCCAAGAAAGACCAGTGAAGACCAAATATCTAACGTGTTCCTAGCTACATGCCATGTGACCGGGCTAAGTTCTAAGAGAAGCCAGAAACCCTAGTTCTTATATAAAATACCTTACATTTTTAACTTAGTGACTGATCATAGTAATCTGTTGGCTCTGGTTCTGATACTTTTTTTTTTTTCCTTGTTGCTTTAGCTGTGATTGTACTTTGTTCCCATAATTCATCCTAGTCTACTTAGTGTTACTTTTGTATCATTTTGTTTAAATATAAAAACCTTGCAGATGTCTGGGTTTACTACCCATTTCTAGAACCTTTAATTTCTTTGTAAAAACAAGTTTTAGCCCGGTCCCTTTTCCTTCCAAGCTGTAGAACTTTCTTTAGCATTTTTTGGTAGTATATATATGCTGGTGACAGCTTTGTATTGCTCTGAAAATGTATTTAGCCTTTTAAAATTCTTTGGGGGTACTGAGGATTGAGCCCAGGGTGCACTAAGCTAAAGCCTCAGCCCCTTTTCTCCCACTAAATTGGGGGAAATTTTTGGCTGTTTTTTCCTCTGCAAAATATTTTTTCTGACTCATTCTTTCTCTCTATTTCTGGATGGGAATTCAAGCTTCTGATTTTGTTCCTCAGAATGCTAAAGCTGTTCCTTTTTATCTTAATTTTTTTTACTTCATCCAGCTTTTTATTGATCTATTTTCAAGTTTCTTGACTTATTTCTAGTACGCTGTTGCGCCCATGCATTGATACTTTGATTCCAGATATAGCATTTCTCAGTTACAGAGTTTCCACTTGATATTTCTCATAGTTTCTTTTTCTGTGATGTAATTTCTAATGCATTTTTTTTCTTTAGGACTAAACTTTCCTTTGTGTCCTTTAGTATTACTGTAACAGATGCTGTGAAATCCTTGTTTGCTAAACTTCAGTGTTTGGACCATTTTGGGATTAGTTTATATTTTTCTGTTTCTTATGTTTAGCAGTTTGGAATGATGTCCTAGATACAGTATCATGATTGATGTATCCACACTGGATTCTGTTATATTCTTGTAAGTGGTTTTTGTCCAGCAGTTGGAATCCCATTTCAGTTACTTTATAAGTTCAGTGGCTTGGAAAGTGCTGTGGTGGATTGTGAGGTTTTGCCCCTCCAAGTGTTTTTTGTTATGGTTATGAAGGGTTTATAGTTCTCAGCAGTGGGGTGGCTGGTGATGTGTACGGGAAGTGGAGTCTTTTCTGACATACTGTACCTTCAAGAACTGTGACATAGCTGAGCATGGGGGGCACACTCAGGAGGCAGAGGCAGGAGGATTGCAGGTTTGAAGCAGCCTGGGCAACATAGTGAGACTGTCTGAAAAATAAAATTAAAAAGGGCCGAGGATGTAGCTTAGTGGGAGAGTACTTGACTAGCATTTGGTTTGCACAGGAAGCTAAGCTGAAATTTGGGCTGTTTTAATTTTCTTCTTCTGTCCCCTTCCTCAGGTCCCTGGGTCTTCTGTGGAGACATCAGTGACTATTGTTTCTTTCCACCTTGACCCTGTAGACACTGTGGACCAGATGATTGTTTGTGGGCATCATTCTGTTTGTTGTAGAGGTCAAGCAGACTTGATCTCTCCTCAGGAGATGGTCAGCAGCAATGCCCAAGTGTTGAGAACCTAGTGTTTCCTGGCAGAGCTGGACACCCCCGAGGAGCAGAGCCACTGTGGTGGAGAACCACTTATTCTCTGTGCATGGGCACCTGTGGCCTTGCTGTTTTTAGCTCTCCCCCTGCTTCCAATGCTGTTAGTTGCTGCATTCCCAGAGGGTTTGGTTGGAATCTGGATGGTGTGGCCTTGGTCTTCCTAGCTGAGCGGATGTCTGCCTGTTCCTTACTCCCACCTGTCTCTGGAGGTTATTGACCCTTCGTTGGTGTCTCTTAGAGAGGACTGCTGCTGTGTGGTGAAGGTTCCATCACCACACTGTGTGCAGCAGCAACGTCTTCCTAAATGACCCCACCTGCTCTTTGGTTTTGTGGACAGTGTGGCCCACTCTTTCCTGCTGTTGCAGGGTAGTATGTCCTGTGGCCCAGCAGTGGTGCCCCTTGATAGCAAAACTTTAGGTGACAGATGAATAAAATGTGTGCACTGCACTTCCTGTTCCTGCACTTGCTGTGCCTTGACTGAACCATTTAGTTTGGGTCTGTGTAAGAAGAGCTTGGGGCAGAGTAGAGCATTGGACCAGCTCAGAGCAGAGCTCATTGGGAGTGTGTTTGTATGGTCACTCTTGGCTTGCTTTTGTTGTTCTTTTCTTTTATTCCTTTTCATCAGTCTGGAGCTGTGCTGTGCTGGGAGTTGGAAACCTTGCTGGGCAGGTGACCTTGGCATGCCTTAGGGCCCTCAGCTGTAATAGGAGTGCCGGGATGAGCTCTTTGCCCATTAGTGTTTCTTTTGCTATGTTCTCCTGTTATCCTTTCGCCTAAGTCTGGTGTTAGCTTCCCGCATACATTGATCTTTTATTTTTCTTCTGGTGCTGGGGATCAACATCAGCTCTCTGAAAGTGTCCATATGCTAGGGGACCAGGTGGTAATCTGTGTCTGGAGCAAATACACAGGTTAAGTTGTGTCCCTGTCACATTGATTGTGGATGGTAAAGGCAGCATGGAGTTTGCCATCCTGTCATGTTACCCCTTTTACAAATGACTCCTTGAGGTATTACAATTTGTGGTATTACAGTTTCTTCCTGCAAACTAATTCATTACATAAAGCATTATAAATTGCCTCACCCCCAACACCACCCTCCACAAAACTAGACAGTAGAGGTGTTGACTTACTTATCCTAGGTTTTAAATGTAACGTGTTGCTTTTTCTCTCTCCCTTTTAATTGTCTAGTGTTCTAAGAACCGAGGTGTCTAGGCTGGATGGAATTTAGCATAAAAAAAAGTCCTCTTTCTGTGCAGAAAGTTGTAAAGTGCATAAAGATGAAGCAGGCACCAGAAATCCTTGGCAATACAAATGGAAAGACTCAGAACTGTGAAGTGAATCGCGACTGTTCTGTATTCCTCAGCAAAGCTCAGCTTTCTAACAGCCTACAGGAGGGGGTCGTGCAGAAGTTTAATGGCCATGATGCGCTTCCCTTTATTCCAGCGGAGAAGTTGAAAGATCTTACTTCCTGTGTGTTCAATGGAGAACCTGGTGCTCCTGATGCCAAATTGTGTTTTGAGTCCCAGGAAGCAAAAGGAATTGGGACACCACCCAACACTACCCCTATCAAAAATGGCTCTCCAGAAATCAAGCTGAAAATCACCAAAACATATATGAATGGGAAACCTCTCTTTGAGTCTTCTATCTGTGGTGACAGTGCTGCTGATGTGTCTCAGTCAGAAGAAGATGGGCATAAGTCAGAGAGTAAGGTACGGAGGAGCAGGAAGAGGAGCATAAAGTATGACTCCTTACTGGAGCAGGGCCTGGTGGAAGCCGCGCTGGTGTCCAAGATCTCGAGTCCTTCAGATAAAAAGGTATGTGTGAGGGATTCTGTTAAGCCATGGGCACAGTGATGGTGGGACCGTGTGGGGTGCCTTTACATCTGTGATGGCAGCCCGAGACTAGAGGGGGACAAGCTTGGTGCCACTAGCTGCCTTAGCCACATGGGGCTGCTGCTGGGTGAGCCTTGGTTGCAGGGCACTTAAGTCCATAGCCTCCTGCTGACCCAGTTGAGAGGCCTAGAGCTTAAGTGTTTGGGATTAAAATGACACAAAGGAGGCAGAACCAGTTTTTGCACTCAAGTCTGCCAGTTCCCTTGCCCTTGCTGGATGCCTCGAACTGTGCTGTTTTCCTGGGCCTCCTTCCTGGAAGGCATTCTTCAGGCTGATACCTCCCGTGGACTGAAGTCCATGCTACCTGACAGGTAGGAGATGAAGCGCAGAGGTCAGAGTGGCTGACTCCTCCACCAGGGGGCCTATCAGATAGCTGCCTTGAACACCAGGGCTGTTTTTGGTTCCCAGTGCAGAGTCCAGCACTCCCCCAGGCTAGAAGCAGCCCTGCCTTCAGGTGGAAGGTGCTTGGTCCTATTGATTCTACAAATGCTTTGTGTCACACACTTCCATGAGTATCGGCCTTGTAAATAGCTGAGAGGCCTTGGCCCTACAGAAGGAAATAGAAATGCCAGGCGGCTCCCTTCCCCCTTCTTGCCCAGTGGGCTCATGGCCTGGGTATCCTGGGTGCTTGTTGGTCTTGACTGCAGCTCCAGGCTTCTAGGAGTAGGGCAGGAACCCCAAATGGGTATGAGTTTGTGCTGCAATAAGGTTGGAACATGCAGTTTACAATTACACTTGTGGGATTTTGTTTAGGAGTTCTACAGACAGGAATTGTTGACATTTCCTTAGAATCCTTAAAGTCACCAGGAGTGTAAGGGCTTACACAACAGTGGCTTTTGAGTGCTCCTCCTAATAAGAATTTCAAAGGCAGACCTTTTTTTTGTTTTTGTTTTTTTTTGTTTTTTTGAGACAGGATGGTTGAAACTGACCTGGAACTCACTATGTAGCCCAGGCTGGTCTCGAATTCGCAGTGATCCTCCTGCCTCAGCCTCCTGAGTGCTGGGATTACAGGCGTGCGCCACCATGCCTGGCTCAAAGGCAGACTTTTTGAAAAATCCATTTTGTTGCCTGGGCTGATGGAATGGGTTTTGGAAGTGCCCATGATTGTAATGAACCTTATGTTTTACAAGAGAAGTAGCATGTGCAAATTACCAGAAACCTGGCTTTTACTCATAGCTCTGCCATTTGGTCTTGTTAAAACTTGGGGACATTACCCACACTTTGACTCTCCGCATGCATGGTGGCATATACCTGGGAAGTTCTGTGTCATCTCAGTGCAGAGTTCTTCTGAAAGCCTGTAATGTGGTGACTACCAGCCCTTGCCACCATGCTCATGCATCTTTGACAGTCAGTGGGATTTCAGTTTCAGGGTGTCACCCTGGGGTCACAAAGGAGGAAACAGGCCCAAAGCAGTTGTGCTCTTAGGAGCTCACCCTCAGAAGGCTGTGGCTCTGCTGTTGCGCTTGCATCCCTTAGAGAGCAGAATGCAGAGTGGCCTGGGGAGGACATTTCAGAGATGGAGAAACTGAGGCTGAGATCTCTCAGCCCTTGAACATGAGGCTGGGGCTGGCCCCTGCTGGATGCAGTGGGCCTTGCTGCTGGGTGAAACATGAGCTTTTTTTTTTCCTTTTGGTTTTTTTGAGGCAGGGTCTCACTATGTAGTTGAGATTGACCTGGAATTCACTGTGTAGCCCAGGCTGGTCTCAAACTCACAGAAGTCCTCCTGCCTCAGCCTCCCGAGTGCTGGGCTTACAGGTGTGCACCACCACTCCCAGCAAGCACAAGCTCTTGAGGATTGACAGACATGTGGCAGGGGGAAGGGTCAATGTGGATTTGGGGTTCTGGAATTAAAACACCATTAAAGACCATGCACCAGGCAAAAGGAGGTTACTAGAAGTCTTCGTGTGGAGCTCCCCCTGTGCCAGGCCCTGTGCAGACCCGTTAGGTGAGGTCGAGAGACACAGCAGCTGCCGGGAAGAGATGTTGGGACTGATCTGAAACACAGGCGGGGAGTGCTGCTTTGTTGGAGTCAGTGTTTGTGTGGCTTATTTTTGGGGGGTGGTTTTGGGGATGGCAACATGCATGCCAAACAAATGTATGTTAGGACCTACAGCCTGATCAATCTGTTGTTCTCTTTCAGATTCCAGTTAAGAAAGAGTCCTGCCCAAACACTAGCAGAGACAAAGACCACCTGTTGAAATACAATGTGGGTGACTTGGTGTGGTCCAAAGTGTCGGGTTACCCCTGGTGGCCTTGCATGGTTTCTGCCGACCCACTCCTTCACAGCCACACCAAACTTAAAGGTATTGCAGTTTGGGCTGTTTTTCCATCTTCCTGTTTTGCACATAATCTTTCTCATCTCCATGCTTTTTGCTCATGCTTAAATGGCCCAATAGTGCAGTTCACTTTTGCAACTTTTCCTAAGGACAGTGATTGATTCAGATGTGAAACACTGACATTTCTTGTTGTTTTTGAGACAGGCTTTCACTATGCAGTTCACTTTGGCCTTGACCTCACTATGTAGCCCAGGCTGGCCTCAAACTCGAAGTGATTTTCCTGCCTTAGCCTCCCAAGTCCTGGGGTTACAGGCATGTGTCACCATGCTGTTATTCTACTGTTTCTTTGGAGAAATGGTCTTTACCTTGTGGTACCTTCAGGTTTTGTGATAATTGGTTCTTTGACCTGTACAGTGATTGCTTATTTCAGCACAATTAACAAATCATATTTTATACTTTTGACTTATAAAAATGTCAAAGTTTTATTAGGCTGGTGGGAAGAGGAAAACAGCTAGAAACAGTCATTTTTGTCTTATAAAACCAGGGTAGATAAATTGGTAGATAGAATAGCTGAAGAACATATTCAGGATGTAATATGTCACCAGTAAAGAGCAAATACTATAATAGACAACCCATAAATGGGTTTTGGAGGAAATGTAAACAAAGATAGGGTGGTTTGAGGTTCTTCTGGACAGTTCTTTCCATGTAGAGTTGGAATTTGGTTTGCAGAAGATGAGATGTGGTGAGTTCTGAGTCAGGGCTGAGCAGACTGGTGCCAGCACTCCAGCCTCAGACTGCCCATTGGTCACACTGGATGACCCTCCCATGGGCCACACAACTGTATCTTCTGCTGGCACCTGTCAGAGGCCCAAGCTCCGGTCCACGTGGACCTGGTCCTCACATTGTCACCTGCTTGCCAATAGGCCTGTTGGCTGGTGTAGAGCAGGTAGCTGTGGGGAGCTGGGGATGACAGCGCTTGTGGCAGCCATAGACTGTAGGGGTGGGGTTAGGCTGATGGAGACCCTGAGTGTTCCCTTGCATCCTGTGAGTGGCTGTGCTGTGCTGTGGGACTCAAGTGGCAGGTGGGCTCCACAGGATTTCTGCCTGCCTCCAGTCTTGTCCCTGCTGAGGGGCCTTTGGGATTCTGGCTTTTCCAGGAAGGGAGGGGTCCCTCCCCAGAGGTGACAGAACCCTGAGGTGAACCTCAAGGCATCTAGATTTGGAGAGTGACAGGGAAGTAGAGTCTGCCACTCCTCTGAAGGGATGGTGTCATCCATGGCCCTGGTGCCAGGCACACATGGGGGGCCACTTCCTGCTCCAGTCAGGAGAACTGAACACAGTCCCAGACAGACACAGCAGGTCTTTTGGTTCATGTCATTTATCTTCATGGCACACCACTGTGTCTGGGGATTTTTATGGTTTATACAGAGTTGTTAGAAAATTCCCCACTGGCATAGTGGGTGTGCCATTTTCTACTGGTAATTCCTTGGGTTTCTACTTTGCCTATTGTGGGGCTCTGGTGACCCCCAGGGATGGAACTGGGAAGCTCAGGCATGGTCATCCCTTTGCTCTTGTTCCCAGGAGCTCTGACCTCCTCTCCTTGCGACTTTGCCCTGTGCGCCTCCTTCCTTCTGAGACACCACCCTTGTTGGCTGCATCTTTCTGGCTGCTCTTCCTCCTGGAGCCTCAGCTGAGTTAGCCTTGTCTCTTGTGGGACCCATTCTGCATGCAACAATGGCTGTTTTCGACTCAGTAGTTCCACAGAATCTGAGGTGGGTGGGCAGCCCAGGGACAAAGGAGCTGTGGTGAGGAGGAAGGGGGATGGTGCTCAGCTGGGCACTAGGCCAGGACAGGGGACCATTGAGATCCCTGGATGGTGGAGGTGGGCACAGCAGGGCAAGGTGGAACAGTAGTGCTGGGCTGGCTGGCTGATAGAAAAACAGAACAGTGAGAGTGCACCTCTCTAGGTGGACCAAGCAAAGTTCTGTAGATTAAAGCCACCAGAAAGGAGAAAGTTGGGTTATGCTATCAAATGTATAGATTGGAAAAAACTTAAAAAGTGTTTATTTATTTATTTATTTATTTGGTACTGGGGATTGAACTCAGGACCTTGTGCTTGCGAGGCAGGTGGTGGAACCGCTGAGCTAAATCCCTGGCTTATTTTGATTTATTTATAAACTTGACCACACTATAGTAATGGCTTACTTTTTTCCCATTGTGACATGTCAGTGCCATTTTTTGTGTTATTTGTTTATAAACAATTTAGGTTCATATTATTTTGTACTATCTGTCTTAAATAGCACTGGGGATTGAACCCAGAGCCTTTGCAGTAAGCTATATCCCCAGCCCTTTTTTTATTTTTTATTTAAAAATTTTTTTTAATTTTTAATTTTAATTTTTATTTATTTTTTTTGAGACAGCGTCTCACTATGTAGTTTGGACTGACCTGGAACTCACTGTGTAGCCCAGGGTGGTCTCAAACTCACAACAATCCTCCTGTCTCAGCCTCCCGAGTGCTGGGATTACAGGTGTGCACCACCACACCCCGGCTTATTTTTTATTTTGAGACAAGGTCTCACCAAGTTGCCCAAGGTGGGCTCTAACTTTCGATCTTCCTGCCTCAGCACCCTAGAGTGCTGGGATTACAGGTGTGTGTCGCCATGCCTGGTGAGGCCCTGGGTTTGATCCCTTGTACCACCACCAAAAAACAGAAACCAAACCAAAACAAAATAAAGCAAAAAACTCACAATAAGCCTTCATATTAAATAATGTAATAAAAGCTAAAAGGTGTCTTTAAAAAATGGTACTGAAAAATTAATAGTGAGAAATTACCTTTTCCCCCCAGAAGTCATTATTTTTAACTCTGGACGTCCTAGAGTGCTGGCATCACAGGCGTGTGCCACCTTGCCGAGCTCCACACATTTTCTGAGAAGGCTGAAAATGTGTTGCCAGGGATAGGGATGCAAGACAGTGGTGAATGCAGCTGTCCTTTTGTTTTTTTGTTTTTTTTTTTTGTAGTACCGGGGATCAAACTTGGGACCTTGCTCTTGTGAAGCAGGCAGCAAAACCACTGATCTAAATCCCTGGCTCTTCAGCTGTGATTTTTATCATTGACTTTCTGTGGTCTTTTTATTATAGAAAATGAGTACTAAACTCTCCAACCATTTCCCTCATTTTCTCTGTATAATTAAGTCACTATTTTATTAAATAAGAATTATTTATATAATTTAAGCTCTATAAGTATTCAATGAAAGGCCAAGTTGTGTATCATAGTTGCATTTTCTTTTTGAGGAACGTTTTGTTTTTCTGAAGTTATTTACTTTTTTTTTTTTTTTTTTGGTATTGGGGATTGAACTCCAGATCTTGTGCTTGAAAGACAGGTTATGGAACCACTGAGCTAAATCCCTGGCCCTGTACTCTACTTTTTAATGCCAAAATTTTTTAGTGTTTTCTGCTTCTTACATACCCCTCAGCTTTGGCTGTCACTCAAACCTAGAGAAAGATCTAGACATGCCCAATGCTTATCCAGAACCTCTCTAAAGTGAGCTTACACCAAGAAACAACAGCCACAAGCACATTTCCTATCTTTGCAGCATTTTCATGCTGTATGCAGTCTTCATCTCGTGTCTCTAAATTCCTCTTTATCTTTCTATTTGGTGTATTGACTTCCACCAATAAAAGAACAGCTTTGCCCAGCTTGATTTTGAGATTGTTTCAGATTTTCTGTCATCATTAAGCTAAGCCTCAGTTTTTTTTTCAAGTATTTATCTTCCTGACTTTACGATTCATCCTACTGGGTATGGTGGCATGCTCCTGGAATCCCAACTACTCTGAAGGCTGAGGCAGAAGGGCTGTAAATTTGAGGCCAGCCCTGGCAATTTAGTGACAGCCTGTCTCAGAAAAATTAAAAAAGGGATGGGGGTGTGGCTCAGCACTCCCTTCATTCCATGTCCAGTACTGCCAAAAACAAACAAAAAACCAAAACCTCACCTTCATGTAGTTTCTTTTTGCATACACATACTTCTTTTCTTCCCACAAAAAGAAGAAAGCCTGAGTGAGTCCTTGGGAACTCATCTCAGCCTTCTCCCCTCTCTGGGTGGAAGCACTTTCTACCCCATCTCGTCTCCTTGGCCCTTGCTCCTTTGCTCACAGTGCTCCCGGTGTCAGCCCTCTTGTGTGCTGTGCTCACTGTCCTGAGGCACCTACATTGCCTTCTGTAGTTTCCTGTCCTCTTTCCTGACTCATTGCAGGAGAGCCTCTACATTTTCTTTGTTTGTTCGTGGTTCTGGGAATGGGACCTGGGCCGCTAGGCAAGCGCTCTACCACTGTGCTGCATCCCCATCCCCAGGAATACATTTGCAGCATTCTCAGAAAATGTGCGTGGAGCTGGGTGAGGTGGTGCATGGCTATAGTCTCAGCTGGCAGGCTGAGGCAGGAGGGTTGTAAGTTGGAGCCCAGTCTGGGGAATTTGTCTCAAAAACAAAAGAGGCTGGGTTTAATCCCCAGTACTGAGGGGAAAATAGGGTATGGGAGGTACATTCAAGTCCTGGTGGTTCAGAGAATACTTCTCTGTCCTCATACTTGATTAACCACTGAGCCTGGAGTTTTGCATTGATAATTATCCTCTCAGCATTGCAGGCTGGACCCCATTTCCCTTCAGAACCAAGTCCAGGGCTGTGCTTGTGGGACCTGTCACTGCACTTACGTCACTGCATGATTTGCTCTGCTTCCTGCTGCCAGAAGTGTGGATCTCACAAGGGTGTGCCCTGCTGCAGGTGCTGGTGGTGAGGCCCTGAGCGAGAGTTTCAGTTCTGAGGCATGATTTTCTGTTGGTTCTTGGAGTTTCTCTGTCCCTCTCTCCACAGAGGGTGTTATTTGGGCATTGAACATTCTGGATTGATCCTGTAGGGTTTTTTTGGGAATGGATATTTTTCATCTTAATCTTTTCCATCTTTTGGAGAGATTTCTTCCACGCTTGCCTGCATTTGTTTGTTTGTTTAGGCGGTACTGGGGATTGAACCCCCAGTACTCTCACTGAGCTGGCCCTCAATTTAGGATCCTCCTACTTCCACCAGTCAAGATTGCCGGGGTTACAGGAGTGCGTACCATGCCCGGACTTCCACGTGTTCTTGATGTATTTTATTTTCTGCCCGTCTCTTTTCCTGTGTTCTCTCTTCATAGCCAGACAGAATGTCTCCTTCCTTGTGCTCTGACCTGCAGGGGCTGCCCTGAACTTTCTGTATTTTGGGCTCATTTGTCAGGGGTTGGCTTCTGTGCACACAGCCTGTGGGAGGGTTTTGGCCCTCAAGGGTCTCTGAGAGCCACGTGCAGAGGTTTTGCAGGTGTCCTGCTTCCCTTGCTTGGCTCTGAGATCGGCTCTTCCGGCTCCTCTGTGTTACACTTCCTTGGGTTTGGGGTCCTGGATCTCTTTCCTCATCTTGGTTCCCTCTGTCTACCTGGAAGGGCATGGTGGTGGTGGTGGGCACTGAGGGGTCACCGTGGCCCTGGGCTGTGCTATCCCCCATGTCCTACATGGCTGGTGAGGAGCTCCCTGGGCATCTCCTGCACTGTTGCTGTGCCCTCCCTGTTGAGCTGCCCCTTGCTCATGCTGGCTCTTGCGCTGCTTGTCTAATGTCTTCTTAAGAGGACCTTGAAGGGGGGAGAGGGAGGAGGTGAAGGAGTGTGGCCAGTTGTCTTTCCTAGCTGGCCTTGCACATTCCTCACCCATCCCCCCCCCTTTTTTTTTGGTACTGGGGATCAAACTCGGGACCTTGCGCTTGTGAGGCAGGTGGTGGCACCACTGAGCTAAATCCTCAGCCCTCCACCTCATCTTATGGGCCCTTCACACTGAGTTACCATCTCTGCCTTTGTAAATTAAATTAAAATTTTTCAGTGTTTTTGAGGCAGGGTCTCGCAGTGTATTCCAGTCTGCCTTGATTTCACTGTGTAGCACAGGCTGGCCTTGATCTCACAGAATTCCTCCTGAGTGCTGGATTTGTGCACTTGGCTTCTGTTTCTTGTCAGTGAGTTTCTCTCCTGGGCATGTAGCATGGATTATTTTGAGGTTAATAGGCTCACATAGCACCAAACAAAACAATGTCAAAACAATAGACTTGCCTGATTTCTCCCCAAATTCTAATGTTCATGTTGTAACTTTTTATTTTAAAAATTAGGTCAGAAAAAGAGTGCACGCCAGTATCACGTACAGTTCTTTGGTGATGCCCCAGAAAGAGCGTGGATATTTGAGAAGAGCCTTGTGGCTTTTGAAGGAGAAGGACAGTTTGAGAAGTTATGCCAGGAAAGTGCCAGGCAGGCACCCACGAAAGCCGAGAAAATCAAGGTGGTAGATATTCCTTCAGTGAGCTCATAGATCAAGATTTTAGTCTTTATTTTTTATGTTATCTGTCATATCTTGAACATACAGCTGTTTGAAAAGGTTTCTTGTGTCTGTCATTGTTTTCTTTTTTTTTCTTTCTTTTTTTTGGTACCAGGGATCAAATTCAGGCCCTTGAACTTGCCAGGCAGGCGGCGGAACCACTGAGCCAAATCCACAGCCCTGTCATTGTTTTCTTTTTCCCAAGTATGCTTTAAAATATGGGGAGTGTCTTTAGAGACGACTTTTTTTTTTCACTTGATGACTCCTACAGATAATTTTATTTTGTAATTTTTATCTCTCTTTTTGTGTGTACTAGATTATATCCGTTAATGTGGTTGGAATTTTAGTTTAAGGAAGCAGTAGTTCTTGGCTGAATTCTGGCCAAACTACTAAATCCTGTTTTTTTTAATTTATTTACTTTTTTGGTACTGTGGAGGCAGGTGTGTAAATCCATTGGTTTTAATAGTTTTTGATATCTAAATTTAGCTGAAATTAAAAATGTCTTATGAAGTGAGTAAAGTCTTATGTTCATATAATAAAACTCCCAATGTCTTATGTCTGTCTTTACAGCTGTTGAAACCTATTTCAGGGAAATTGAGGGCCCAGTGGGAGATGGGCATCATTCAAGCAGAGGAAGCTGCCAGCATGTCTGTGGAAGAGCGGAAAGCCAAGTTCACCTTCCTCTATGTGGGGGACCAGCTGCACCTCAACCCCCAGGTAGCCAAGGAGGCCGGCATTGCTGCTGAGGGCTCCGGAGAAGTGGCAGAGCCTGCTGGAGTTGGGGAAGCAGCTGCTGCAGACCCTCGGGCTGTGCAGGAGGAGGGTATTCCGGTGAAGAGGAGGCGGAGAGCCAAGCGGTCTAGCTCTGCTGAGAACCATGAGAGTGATGCCTGTATGGAGAAGAACACTCCACAAAAATCCACAGAGGCCGAGCCCAAGAGAGGAGTCGGGTCTCCCCCTGGGAGGAAGAAGGCAGCAGCCTCCACTCCGAGGAGCAGGAAGGGAGATGCTGCGTCTCAGTTTTTGGTCTTCTGTCAAAAGCACCGGGATGAGGTCAGTATTCTAATGGGCTCTCAGGTGTTTCCTGCCATAGCTCCTGAATTGGAGGAATAGTTGTTTGGTGCAGAAGATCTGTTTCTCAGCAGTGAGTCTCACTGAGATTTGTATCTAACACCTACAGAAAGGGAGTAGCCGCTTTGAACCTTGGGGGCAGAGCCACTTACCTTGGCTCTGGGTTACTGCTTGGCTTCTCCTAGGAAGAGGCGGTGCTTCTGGCAAGGGCTGCCGTGCCAGAAGCAACCATCTCTGGAGAGCGTCCTGTGTGGGGATGCCCATTCATAAGCTTATAGATCTACTAGCATTGAAAACGTTGAAGGTTTACTTCCATGACATATAAAAAAATAGTAATATATCACTGATTAAAGTGTGTGTTGCTTTGTTTATTTGAGACAAGGTCTCACTATGCAGTTGAGGCTGGCCTTGAACTCACTGTGTAGCCCAGGTTGACCTGAAACTTGCAGCGATTCTCCTGCCTCAGCCTTCCAAGTGCTGGGATTACAGGCATGTACCACTGTGCCCAGGATTAAAGAAAGCATTTAAATAATTTTACTGATTTAATAAGATACATGATCTATTCATAGTAAAGCCTCAGTTCCATCATAAAGAACTGAGCCTCCTCTTCAGTTCACTGTTCCTTAAAGTGTGGGTTATTGTGTAGCCTTTTTATTATAGTGTTTAATTTCACTTTCTTGGGAATTTTCTACGAAGGGGTTTCCAAACTCCACAGGGTGATTAAGGTACTAATAACAAATAGCACCTGTTTTCCAAACATGGTCATTGGATGTTTAGCTAGCACTTGTTTTGTGGCAAGTGACATAACACAGTGCAGGACCACCAGGCATTTGACAGAGATGTGCCGCTGAATGGTTGTGGGCGTTGTAAGAAATCATGGAACATGAGGCTTTTGTCCCTACACAAGAGCCAGGAAGCCTACAAGGGGAATCGTAGGGCTTCTCTCGGGAATGCAAGGGTGGTTTAATGTTAGAGGTCAGTTTCCAGCTTCTTTCTTTTCTTTTTTTTGGTACCGGGGATTGAACTCGGGTCCTTGCACTTGCAAGGCAGGCCACCAAACCACTGAGCTAAATCCCCGGCCCTTGTGGGTTCTTTCTTGTGAAAGAGGAAAAGTGCTGAACTTCTTGAAAATGGATCTTCATATGAGTGGACTATCTCCTTAAGTTTTTCCCTATGAGTCGTTCATTAGAAAGTCTGGGCAGCAGGTGTGGTGAAGGCTTGTAATCTCAGCACTCTGGGCAGCTGAGGGAAGAGGATTGCAAGTTCGAGCCCAATCTGATCAAGACTGTCTCAGTGGGACCTGTCTCAAAATAAAAAGGGCTGGGGATGTAGCTCAATGCAAGACCCTGGATTCAGTCCTCAGTCTCTCTCTCTCTCTCTCTCTCTCTCACACACACACACACACACACACACACACACACACACACACACGCCTATGTCAGTGGTGGTGAACCTGTGGGACATGTGCCAAAGCTGGCTGTTACTGCTGAAAGCTGTAAAGGTTCACCATCACTATCTTAGATAGTGTTAACAGCAGTTTCATTAACAGATTTTGGCTTGAGTTTCCAAGTTTTAAAATCTTCCACCTTTTCCAGTGCTAATTTTAAAAACTAAGAGTTGAATGAATGCATTGTCTCAAGTTTTGTGTGCGTGTCTGTGTTAGTTACTAGTTGTGCCTAGCAAGTTACCTCCTAACATAGTGGCATAGAGCAGCAGCAGCGGCATCACTGCTTACCATTTTGGATCTGTGGGTGAAGAAGAAGCTGGGAGCAGCTCATGGGGCAGCTAGACTGCAGTGTCTCCCGAGGGTGCAGTTAGGTGCAGCCATCTGGTGCTGCGTCTGAGGCTTGCTGGGGCCAGAGGGCCTACTTACGTGCTGGCGGGAGGCCCAGTTCCTCACCGCATGGCCCTCTCCATGGGTGAAGGGCCTTGCTTCCCCCAGAGCAGGGGATCTGGGCAAGGGCCGGGTGATAGCTCCCATGGACCTGGAAATCCTACACCGCTATCCTCATTGTGTCAACGAGCACAAATTCAGGCCTGAGTGGTGGGTATGGGTATCAAGAGGTGGCTCAAGAGTGGTGACTGGTCATGGCAGCATCCTCCTCTGAAGTCTAAAAGGAAAAGCACAGGAAGCTTTAAAAACTGATGTGCAGGCTGTGGAGGGGCTGATCTAGGAGCGGGGTAGATAGAGTCTTAATGGTAACATTTCACTGAGCTGTGGGGTGGGCCTGTGGGTTATTTTCATTTTCCATATTTTTTTGTTACGGCTAAAATAGTTTACTAGACATTGAGAAGTAGCCACAGTTGTGTGATTACTGTGTGTTAAGTATCTTGCTAGGATGCTACTGTGCAAAATTGTGCCTGAAAGCTATAATGGCCTTCTAGGGTGTAAGTGATTTGTACCTGTTGATAGCTGGCTCTTGAGCTCATGAGTATAAAGTGCTTCTCCTTCATTAGTGAGCTGACGCAGCAGGAAGCAGGCCCTGATTGTGTGCACACAGGTATGTTAGTGTGTATCCAACCTGTAACTTATGCTACATAACAGACATTCCTCAGTGTCCCACGGGCAGGGTCTTGGTAAACCCATTTTAAACTAGAAATACTGTAAGTGGAAAATGCATGAATCCTCCTGACATGGCAAACGCCACAGCTTAGCCTCACGGCAGTGGCTGAAGTCTGGTTCCCCTCCCGGCTGTGGAGCCACCTAGAGCTGTGTGTACCACACTGCCCAGCACAGCCTGAGAGGATCCTGAAGCGATCAGAATTTAAAATTGGAAGTATGAGTTCTACTGAGTGCACATTGCTTCCACACCAACATCAGGTCGAAGGCCATCAGGATACTGCTTTGTTACGCAGACTGGCATCCACAGTCACGGCTTTACAAACTTTTGTGACAGAAAGACCCTTTTCCTGCTGTCCTTGAAGTACATAGGTGAGAGACGAGAAACAGAAAGACAGTAAGCGCCTGGTGCAGCATGGTGCTGCTCTTCCCGTGATGCCCACTCCTAAGCAGCATGTGAGCTGAGACCTGCACACAAGCACAGGTGGATGAGTGGCTGCCACAGCCGGCTGGGGACTGACGCTAGCTCAGACAAAGTTGTGTGTGTGAGAGAGAGAAGTGGGAGGGACTCAGTGCAGTTATGCAGGACCTTGGAAGTCTCGTGGCGCCCTCGTTCTAGGGGTAGGGCAAGGTCACCCCAGAAAGGCAGGCTGTGATGGCTGGTGCTGGGAGGAGGTCTTCGAGGTGGGAGGGCAGAATTGAGGGCCAGGAACCTGGTTGCTGAAACTCAGATCTGAAGTCATGGTACTCTTTAGGAGTGGGGCCAGGCTACTCAGCGTGGGGCAGAAGCAAAGCAAGGGTTACTTCCAGGAGACTGGGCATCTGTTTGTGCTTCGTCCTGATCAAGGGCACCAGGGCCAGGGGAGGGAACAAGATTTTAGGGGCAGAGGTCAGGGACCAAAGGAAGCTGGAGAAAGGGCCCTGAGGAGTTGGGAGGGTTCAGGAAGCAGGTAGGAGACAGAGCCCATGTGTCCAAGAAGGGGTTCAGGGATGGGAACAGCCGGGTAGGTTATGGTAGCAATGGGACCCCAAGGAGAAAGAAGGCCAGGGCAATGTTGTGGTCACAGGTCAGCCTGAGGTCTCAGAAGGTGGGAGATTGCGAGTGGGCAGAGCTCCCCACAGGTTGCCTGTCTCATCTGGAGAGATGGTTGTGGGTGTTGGTGTCCATACAGAGGCAGCAAGACCGAGGGTGAGCACGTAACCAACCAGGTGGCAGGAGGGCAGATTTCTTTGAGGAGCTGTCCACAGTGAGTAATAGCTCGGGACTGAAGTCTGTTTACCTGTGTTGGCTGGGCAGTGGACAGTTCAGGCCATGGTGGTAGCTGCTGTACATCAGACCACTGATTTTTTAACACTGCTCTCATTTCACAAGGGGGGTGGGTGGAGATCGCACCTTCACCTGGGCAAGTAGAAGAGCCAGGATCACTCTGGTCAGTGCTCTGCAGCCCTGCAGATAGTCAGTGAGGCCTGTGTCCTGACGTGGCATAAGCAGCCATAGGCAGGACAGCAGCACAAGCTTGTGGTGAGTTCCAGTGAAATCTGGTTTATGGCACTACCTTTGGATTATTACTATCTTTTTTGCATGTGATAAAGTAATTCTTTTATCAGTCTTTGAAAAGCACAAAAAATCCTGTGTCATCCTAAAATGTGATATGTCAGAATGGGTGTTAGTGCATAGGTCCTTGCACTGTGCCCTGTCAGTGCCTCTGTAACTCAAGGGCACATTAGTATATGTGCTGCCAAAGTGAGCACAGCAAGGGCATGGCAGAAGCCCGTGGGAAACCTTTGGCCACCAGTCTTGGGCAGACCGAAGCACTGAAGGTTTAAACTCCCTAGATTATTGCTTTCTGTCGCCTGAGTTGAGGGCCATTTACTAGACTAGGTCATGGTACACATGGTCTGCCTGGAGGCCTTGTGAAAATGCAGATTCCTGGTGGGAGGAGTTGGGAATCCTCCAAGTGTCTGGAGGTTGTGGAGTATGCACGATGGTGAACCACCTTTAGCCCTTGTCCAGGGCTCAGAGAGTGGTAGATAGCAAGGAAGCCAGGCCAAGTCTTTGCTGCAGGATCACCGGCAGCATTTCTGTGGGGCTTGCTGTAGGGCTGAGTTTTCAAGGATGCCTAGAAAACTGACTTAAAAATAATCTAAGTGATTTTGGAAAAGTGTAAGTTTTTTCTTACATTTACTAGTATTTTCACTTGAGTTTTCAGTGAATCTCAGCATCAGTTGAGAGCTGTTTTTCCTTGAAGCTTTTTTTGGGACGTGGTTCCATGACGAAGCAGTAAAAATGACACATGCTAAGCCTCAGTGTCCATGCACTTGATTTGTGCAGCACACAAATAAGCTCTGTGTGTTTGGACTCTTACTGTCACCTGAACTGTGTTCACAGGTTGTTGCTGAGCACCCAGATGCATCAGGTGAAGAGATTGAAGAATTACTGGGATCTCAGTGGAACATGCTCAATGAAAAACAGAAAGCTCGCTATAACACCAAGTTTGCCCTTGTGACCTCGGCCCTGTCTGAAGAAGATCCTGGTAAACAGACAGCTGTGCTGTGTCCTGTGCTTAGGTGTGATGGGTGGAGGGGAGCAAGATGTGCTTTACGCATGGGCTGGTGTACATGTGGCCTGTGGCCAGCAACCAGAGTGCATGTGGTCCCCGCATAGTAAAACCCCTGCTATCTGCCCTGCTCCCTCGTTAGCAGAGCTGCTCTGTCCAATCCTCTGGCTGGTCTTTGGGTTCCTCGGTCTGTGTTCACATAGGCAGGCCTAATGGCCACTGTAGCCAAGAAGGTGGTAAGGAAGAGGGCAGAAGAAGGAGCCTCCAGGTTTGGCCATGCTGAGTTGGCCCTCACCCTGTGGGCCTGCCTCTCACTGGAGACTGCCTGCACTACTAGGCTCTGGGTCTGGAGTGGATACCCTGGCCTCTTTGCTTGACAGCCCACAGATGAGAAGGTGACTGGATTGATCTTAAACTTGGATGCCCTTTGATTCTTCCTGGGCTGTCAGTTTAAAAAATAAAAAGTACTGCTTTACTTTTGGGTAAAAGTGAGGGAGACAAACAGTAAGACATGGAGGAGATGAGTAGTGGCGGTCATGTGTATGACCTGTGTGTGCTTTGGCACATGAATTATGGAAAATTGCCCTTTAGATATGAAAATAAGTGTGACATATTTGGGTGTTAACAACACAAGAACGTCTGTATCTCTCAGGCTCATCCCTGAGGGTCCTGAGTGAGCCTGGACATTTGGTGTGTCCAGACCCATTTAAAGGAGCCCCCAGGATTCTGGCTCACTCCTGGAGCTGTCCTGCACTGCGTGCTGGGCTGTGACCCCGCGTGCACTGCAGTGCTGCACCTCACATGTGCTTAGCCTTCCTGGGCTTCCTGGACCTCCACAGTTGCTCATTATATTCATCTGGGATTTGCTCAGTTTGCTCAGTGTTCCTTTGCAGATGTTTTTAGAGTACCAGAATTTGTGGATTGTCTTCAGAAGGCAAACTTACCTCATCCTGCGTCATCTGTACACTCCATCTAGAGAAGTGCTCCCTTTCCACAGTGGCTGGTTTGAGAAGGGACCAGGCTTCCTGCAGTCCGGGTCAGCATGAACAGAGCTGTATGTGCCATGCTTTGCTGTTGGGCTGTCCCTGAGCACTCAGTAGACAGAACTGGGCTTCCTGGACCTCCACAGTTGCTCATTATATTCATCTGGGATTTGTTCAGTTTGCTCAGTGTTCCTTTGCAGATGTTTGTCCAGAATTTGTGGATCGTCTTCAGAAGGCAAACTTGCCTCATCCTGCGTCATCTGTACACTCCATCTAGAGAAGTGCTCCCTTTCCATAGTGGCTGGTTTGAGAAGGGACCAGGCTTCCTGCAGTCCGGGTCAGCTTATCTTGAGGAGCAGGCATGAACAGAGCTGTATGTGCCATGCTTTGCTGTTGGGCTGTCCCTGAGCACTCAGTAGACAGGAGGAGGGACAGTGAGTCCCCACCACAGGGTGGTCAGGTGTATGCTCTTCTTGGATGCCCTTCAGCCCTGACGTTTAGGCGACTCCAGTGCCTTCCAGTCACGTTGTGCCATCTCTGTGTGTCGCCTGTTGGTTGACTCCGTGCTGGCATTTCCAGCAGAGGCTGGGGTTCATCTGGAAGGGTGGACTGCCACCTCACTGTAGGTTCAAGGGCAGCGCTCAGGTGGTGCCTGGGGAAGAGACCAGGAACTCATCTCACCACCGGAAGCTGGGCAGTAGGGTGATGTTGCAGCTGGCTGGTCCCTGTCAGCCGTAGGCAGGACTGATGTTTGCATGGGGCTGAGGGGGCTCTGCCCATCAGGCTGGCCATGCCTCGCTGTGCTCGGAGCTCAGGTAGTGCTGAGCAGACCCTGCTGTCCTCTGTTCTGCAGGCCTCTTCCTCACATGGCCTTAGCAGCTGTGATTAGGAGTGAACCTGGTGGGGGCCGTGGGCCAAGCTCCTCCAGAAGTGAGGACCGGGGCTGCCATGCGGGCCTTCTGAGGTCGCTGGACTCACGGGCTGAGTACGCCTGTGCCGGTGTGTTGTGTCCCCACAGGCAGTGAGTTTGAGGATGACAGTGTCCTTCCGCAGGAGCTTGATGGATAGTCTGTTAGTAAGAAACCCCAAACCTCTGAGAAGGACTTGAATAAACAAAAACTGCATCCATACGTAAATAAACATTGGCATGTTCCAAGCAACCCTCTTTCCAGAATCTACAGCTTGTCTCCCTAGGTCAGTTCCGTTTGATACTTCGCTATGTGAGCGGTCCTCCTGGGGACCTAGTACATGGTACAGTCAAGCAGACATGCAGAGAAGCCCGTAGTGTGCAGATATGGATGTGGTGTTGCTGTTCAGGATAGTTCTTTAAGGGAATGTATGAACAGTGGCAAGTTGTATTTTATTTTTATGTTCACCTTACGTTCCATCAGTCTTTGAATCTTAAATACTGAGTTATATTCTAATAATGCTATAGTACAATGAAATTATAACAAATATTGATGTAATTTCTAGATAAAGTATTGTCAGTCCCCAGTCTGTGTTCTGTAGAATGTTGGCCTTGGTCAGCATGGCTGTGGAAACCAGTTGCAGCCTGGTGTGCAGCTGAATGCCCTGTCAGGGGTCTCAGTGCTTTGGGGATGGTGTGTGGAGTGGTTTTCATGTGCATTTCTCCTAACCCCATTCCAAGGTAATGTAAATGGGAAAAAAAGAAGTCACACAAAGAGGACAGAGGACCCTGCAGAAGATGTTGACATTGAGGATGCGCCTAGAAAGAGACTCAGGCCTGACAAGCACGGTCTTCGGAAGGTAACTGTGCTCCGGTGTGCCTGGCCCTGCAGTGTGTGCTGCATGCTTCTCGGCTGAGGGCGGGGCAGGCCATGTGCTCCAGGCTGTGCATAGGGAGGTGCTTAGCAGGGAGGCTGCTTCCCAGAACCAGAAACTTCCAGCACTGGGCTGGTGGAGAAAGTAGTGTCCAGACACTCCAAATACTTTGTGACTTTTAGGTTGGATAACATTGTACATTAGAAATGGTTCTTGGGCTGGAGTGTAGCTCTGTGGCCGAGCCCTTGCCTTGCATGTTCAGGGCCCTGGGTTCAGAGCTCAGCATAGGGGGTAAAAACACCCCTCTTATCATTGTGAAAATACATAATTAGTTGACATGACAGTTCATTAGAGATACGAACACTGTAATGAAAAGTTAGAGTCCATCGTAGAGACATCAAAACAGGTTCATAACCGCATTCATATTGTTAGTAACACATGGTGTTGTTGGCTGGCTGCAGGATGAACAGGCAGCTCTGCCACCCCTCCCATGTCTCGGCCCTATCAGGGCACAGAGCAGACCTGGTGCCTTGGGCGTGAAGCCGACCCAGGTGCATGCATAAAGAGGAGCTGTCTTACTATCAGTCCGTGTGTCATAAACGGGTTTACATAGGCTTTTTAGTTCTTTTGGGGTGGTGGGGATGGGGATGGAACCCATTACCTTGAGAATGATGGACAAGTGTTCTACCACGGAGCTAATCCCCAGCCCTGGGCTTTGTACTTTATATATGAATTTATTCAGTAATATTTCATACAAATTAGCTGCATTTTTATGATTATAAGTAAAGCTTGGTACTGTCCTTTACCAATCAAAATTAAGTTGCTCTTGGTTTTTTTTGGCGGTACTGGGTATTGAACTCAGGACCTTGCACTCGCGAGGCAGGTGGTGGAACCACTGAGCTAAATCCCCAGCCCTTGCTGTTTTATTTTGAAGAATGGAAAATAAGTACTACGTGTTGTTGAAGTGCAGCTTTGTGGACCACACCATCTGTCTGAATTCTTTAAAGCTGTATTTGCAGTTGAGGGGGAGCAAACAGGCTTTGCTGCACTCTCCTGGCCCAGCAGAGTGTTCTCTAGGGTACCTCTGTCAGGTGGGGGTTTTTAGACCGAGGGCCCAGCATTAAGCAAGGTAAAGTCTTCAAGTTTACAGTTACCAGGAAGTACATACTTAATGTTTCCTCTGGTCATCAGCTATTAAAGCAGCCCTTTACTGGCAGTCCCACTGGAATTGGTTGCTTTGAGATATTTACGTAAGGGCCGGGATTTAGCTCAGTGGTGCTGTCACCTGCATCACAAGCACAAGGTCCTGAGTTTGATCCCTTATACCAAAAACAAAGAAAAAAATTCTGCCCGGAGATATTTATGTAAATGGGAGTACCAAAAATGTGGCCCTGAGCATTTGAAATATCAATGTTCACATTAAGTAGCTATGTGGAAATGTTTATTAACAGCTCAGGAAGTCACACATGATGGAGACGAATTGGCAGTGTCCCCTCTGGTCAGCCTCTTACAGCCTTGAGCCACTTCCAGTCCATTGCTGTGCACCATCCTTGCCATTGCCCCAGCCTGGTGGGTGGGTGAGGTGTGGGTGTAGACTTGGTCTCCTGGAGTGGTCTGGTAACCACTGGGCACTACTGCCCCTGGGCTGCTGAGACAGGGCCTTTTCAACTACGTGATTCAGCATCTCAGCACACAGTAAAGTGTTTATGATCCTCTGTTGTTTTCTTTATTTGGCTTGTTTTTTGCCATTCTTGGTTGTGAAATGTGTTTTATTGATGATCTTTGTGTGTAGCTGTGGAATTTGTCTCAAAATTGTGAATCTCAGAGCAGCAAGTGAGATTAATAAAGCTGGCAGATGTCTCAGGGCTGACTTTACCTCTATTGGCCTCTGGCTCAGAAGGCCAGAGCCCTCTGCTTTGTAGTCTGCTCCTGCCAGGGGAAGGGCAGCAGCACCTTGCTGGTGGACACTGCTGGAATAGGGTGCAGCTCAGCCCAGGGTGTGGGTGTGCTGTGCCGAGTACACTTTCCCAGGAGCAAGCACCTGCTGCACACATGTTCACCAGCCTGTGTCCATTCACAGAAGATTTTTTTCCCCTTTGTTCTTTCTGTTTTCTCCTTTTTTTTTAAATGACAGAGAGAGACAAGCACTGACAAGATGGCCAGGACAAGCTCTTACAAGGCCATGGAGGCGGCTGCCTCACTCAAGAGCCAGGCAGGTAATGTAGCAAGGCTCCCGGGTGCCCAGCCAGGTGGGCCCTACCCTTGGGACCTCGCTGGGGCAGCTGAGGGGAGAAGAGGGTACAGGGAATCCCAGGCCTCAGCCAGTAGGTGGGAGCCAGAGACAGAAAAGGGGCTGCTGCAAGTAGAAATAGACTCAGTGTGTTGTTTATGGCTCCACATTTAACTGAAGTTGTTTTTCTGTTGATTTTTTTTATTCTTATACTATGTTTTTAATTTGAAATTTTAGAATTGGTGAATTTTAGAATCACTAGAAATGTGATTCAAACAAGAGACCTAGTTTTCTTGATGATACCAGTTGTTGCTGTAAATTGCTTGCTCTAGGATCTTGATGCCTATTGGCTAAAAGTCATGAGCTAAAGAAATTAGCTAAGCTAAAGAAATTAGCTTAAAATGTTTATGGAAAATAACTATCAAAACAATGAAGGGGCAATCAGACCCCCTATACTTTTCATTAATTATCTTGTTGAAATACCTACTGGATAGTTTATCAAAGAAGGCTGACCTTCTGCAACTTTTTTATTAGAGGGAAAACTATTGGAGGAGGGCTGGCATAAAGTCTGGCAAGGCTCTGTTTTCCTTGCATTGGATGAAGTACTGTGCTGTTTTTCTGTTTGTTTGTTTTGGTACTGGGGATTGAACTCAGTCAATCCGCCAGGCAGGCGGTAGAACCACTGAGCTAAATCCCTGGCCCTCTGTGCTGGTTTTTAAAAATCAGTTAAATAGATTGTTTTTTAAAGAATATTTGCAAATAAGAAATGTGAAAGCTGACTAGATATTTGATGATACAAAGGGATTGCTGTTTTTAAAACTTTGTTTTAGAAGTACACATTGGACTTTTTAGTTTATGTGCTACTGAAGCGAGTACAGCACATTAGACTTTTTATGGGTTAAATGTTAAGTGTTGTAGTTGGCTCAGAATAACTGAGGCAGGTGCAGGGGCCGGGAGTGGTTGAACCAGGTGTGGATGAGCTGCATTGGCCCTGGATTGGTGGTTTGGGGGCCAGGCCCTGGGAGCAAGGCAGTCACTATGAAGTCTGCCTGCTTTCATTTAGATTCAGAACCCAGAAGATTGATCTGTAGGGTTTTACTTACTTGAGGGGTGATTTTAAAGCAGCAAAAAAGTGAGGGTTTAAAAGAAAAAGAGGTGAGGGTTTAAGATTTTAAACTTTACAAAACAAAATTATTTTACAGCAACGAAAAATCTGTCTGATGCGTGCAAACCACTGAAGAAGCGAAATCGGGCTTCTGCAGCAGCGTCTTCCACTCTTGGGTTTAGCAAAAGTTCATCTCCTTCTGCATCCTTAACTGAGAATGAGGTAAAATCATGATGATAATGATACTGTGGTGTCCCGGCAAGGGCCATTAATGACTCAAGTTGCAGTGTGAGTGAAATTCAGACTTAGCATAAGCATAACATTGGTGTCCTCCATAGGTATAGGTGAGTTAGGACTTCTTAACTATCTAAAGTTCCCGAAATGGAAAATATGCACCATTTTAGTCTATTTGAGTACTTCGAACATTATCACACACAGCGTATGTGTAAATGTACGTATAGCCTTCAGTCTTGATGTAGCTTCATTGTTCTTGCAGTGTGTTTTGCTATAGTGTGTTCTGGAACCCCTCATGCTCTGGTCTCGCACATGAAAGGAAGTCCATGCTGGCTCCCACAGGATGTGCATTGTTGGCCAAGCTGACACTGGTCACTGTGCACCCTGTACTGGGCGGGATTCGGGGCTCATAGGGGTGTGAGGGAAGCCAGAGCAGGGTCCCCACGTGCCCTGTGCCTTTGGTCCTTTGAGTTCTGGTATCGTTGGCACTGGATTGTGGAGGCACCTCTGAACTCCCACTGGACCACAACTCCTGTTTTCTGGATTTGCAAAGTCCAGGGTAGCAGAGCAGTAGCTCTCTGAGGCTATTGCTGCCATTACTGTGGCATGACATCTAGATGGCATTACCGAGTCAGCAGTCATCCACCAAAGGCAGGCATGACACTTCCTGTCCTGAGGTAGTTTGGTGTCATGGTTTAGTGGTTCCCTTCGTAGAGCTTACTTCTAGTTTTAATTCCTTGTCATTTTGACCCCTATGGTTCTATTTTTCTCCTTGTGAGTGCGAGTTCTGTTTTTATACTTGTGAGGCCGTGATGACCTTAGGCTTTATTGGAGCCTGGTAGTGAGATGGAGACAGGACGGGCCCCTTCTTCCTCTGGGCAGAGTCAGTGTTTCTGGTGTTGCCTCTGCACTGGTCCCCAAGTGGGGTGGGGTTGTCTTAGGCCTTGAGGCTAGGCCTGCCAGTGAGTGAGAGTCGGGGAGCTGGCCAACCTGATGGGGCACCCTGAGAGTTTTCCAGTCCCTGCTCTAAACTGCCGCAATGGTGTCAGTCTAGACCGCTTCTCTTGGGGATTTCCTTGGCAACTCAGATCAACTCAGTTGCAGTCTGGAGTGTCACATATGAGCCTGGGGCGGGCATGAAGTTCGCTATGTGTAGACACCAAGACCTTTCTTACTTTTGGACAAGAGAGGTTCTTCATTGAGCTTTTATCCAGGAGCTTACTGAAATATGAAAAGAAAAATTTTATACAAATTATTTTCCCTTTCTTGTTCAAGTCAAGTTAGTATTCTAAAAATTAAATGAGAGGTTGTCTACAATTTCAAATAAGAATATTACAAATAAAAAGCTTTAGTTGTGTAGGCCCTTTTACTGGGTTGGTATACATATTTTTAATGGTGTTTTCCTTGCATCTTGTTTGGTTCCCTCACTGGTTGGGATTTTGCTGAGTCTGCCTTGGTCTTGTATGCTGTTCCTAGCAGTCAGGGTTGTGTAGGAAAGGCCAGCATGGTGAGGGTGGAGAGGTGATGACAGCGGGCTCCCTGGCTGAGTGCGATCCCTCTTAGCTGGGGACGTAGGAAGACTGAGGATTTCGTAATCAGACGCACTTGGTCTGTCCCTTGAGAATTGCAGAGGCTGGTAGGTGACTGACTGCATATATGTGGTGGATACAATACTTTAGACCCAGGCACCCTCCTGCATTTTGAAGGTGGTACACAGATCCTGCTGTGTGCATGTTCCTTATATAATCATTGAAATTACACTGTCTTCTCCATTAGGCCTCTTTCATGTAGTTTATCTAAATCTCTGGAGTTTCTTTTTACAGAATCCTTCTAGTATTCAAACTCGTTAGGTGAACAGGTATCCTTGCCTACTGTGTATCAGCACTGCGGGAGCACAGGAAGTGTTCCTCAGGTGGCAGTGCTGAGTGCCTGCAACACCCAGAGCCGAGGGCGGGCTCTGACGTGATGGCTGCTGTTGGCAACTGGACGGCCCCTCATCTAGCTCACTTAGCTTATGCATGTTTTTATGTCCTTCCTTTCTCTACTCTTGATTGAGAAAAATAAGGAGTTTTCATAGGGCTGGTATTTCAAGACATTTTAGGTCATGTTGTGGTTTAAATTCTTGAAAAATGTATATGTGATAAATTTATATTGGAATAATTGATTACATGGTACTACATCCTCCCAACCAAGAGTCTAGATTAAACTTACACACTTGCATGACAAAAGGCCTGTGAAGGAATTAATGTGATTTAAGTGTTTGTAACTTCATTTCTTGTTCCTTTAGTAGAGCAAATTCTTATTTTTTTGCCTTCACTGGTAACAGCTTTTATGGGAGCCCACATCAGTCAAGTTGGACTTGAACCCAGCTGCCCTGTACTGCACTTAGAGTGATGTAATGTCCCAAGATGTCTGCGGCAGGTGGCGCATCATCGTACACACTAAGTGACATTTCTATCACAATCATTTTATGGAAGATGTGTGATAATCTGTTTTTACTGGTATTAATAAACACATACAATGAAGAAAACAGATAACATTTTAAGACCAAGGTAAGATACCTAATCAAGGCCATTTAATCAATCACATTCATCTCATGATAGAAACACATTCATATTCCAGTGATCAATGTAGATTTCAAGTCGAAAAGGAGGCTGTTCGGTGGGGGCTGTCCTATCGCCGAGACAAGGCACCCGCTGAAGGGGCCAACCTGTTAGAGGTCCTTTTCCCCTCTAATTCATAACCTACTGAATTTTTATTGAGAAATGTCAGCATCTGTTCCTTCAGAAACAAAGAACAAACAGCACACATTAAGGGGCCCTTGTCAACTATTCTCATTGCCAGTGAAATGTATCCAGTACTGTAGATATTAAACTAATTTCCAACATGAAAGGCAAGAGGAGTTTTGATTCTGTCCTTTTTTACTAAACAGTTTTACTATAACACTAGACACAGTAAATTTTTAGGAAAATACGCCATTCCCAGCACCATTGTGAACCATTCAACTCTCAACCCAGTGGCTGAGATGTAGAGGACACCATGGCCAGGTTATTTACGCCAGCCACTTCATCACTTGCTTTCGTAGAGCATCGGCATCCCTGTAATGTCACGGTCTTGGGTGCCAGCCGGGGCTCGAGCCCGCAGCCTGCAGCCTGCCTGTGTCATGGGGGAAGGCCCACTTGTCCTCATCTTGAGAAGTGGGGCTCATGTGGATGGCACCAGGCTGTTCCCGGCAGACTCATCAGTGTGTCCGACCTGTAGTGAAAATTCTGACTAATGCTTCTGTTCCAAACCATTAAGTGATGTAACGCATGTAAAATGCTTAGGGTGCCTGGCGCCTTGCGAGGACTCAGTGGTTTGCTGTTGTGACAGTCATGGTTATAACAATAAAAAAATAAAGTTGCCATCATTCCATTTTTATCCAAAAGTATAACTTTTACTTTGGCATGAGAAGTGACCTTGCCTGCATCACGCATGTGGGGATGAAGTAAACCCAGCAGTGGCAGAACCCTGGGTCTGTTAATACGATACGGTCCAGTGCTGGGCACATGGTTGCGAGCTGGCGGATGCCCTGTGGTCCTGCTCAGTGGGAGATGTGGCCCCATGGCCTAGGAGCAGTCTAGATTGTACTATTCCAAAAGGACCCAAAAGAACTCAGGTAAATTTCATCTCAAGAATCACTGCTAAATTTTAAAATATGATAAAAAAAGATGGTATAAAAATGGCCCTGGTTCAGTAAATGATCATCTGAAGTAAAGATGCCATCCTGACAGTCTCTGGGCCAGAATTGAGGAGTTTTTTTAGATTGTGATGAATTTGGGGCGTGACAGCGGCCAGCATGGGGAGGTGGTAGGGATGCAGAATGGCTGAGTGGTGCCCGCTGTGCAGTGTAGGCAGCATCAGCTGAGTGAGAGAGTGAGTGAGAAAACGGGATGGGAATGTGCAGTGTTCCTCTGCCCAGGGAGACCACATCCCTCTGAGCACACTGGGAAGGTGGCTAGGTAGGCAGGGTAGGGATACTTGGTGTTCTTCAGTGAGGGGACAGTTCCACATGTGGCAGAGTTGGCCTGCTCCCAAGGCCAGTCATGGTGCCACTGTAGAGGAGCTGAGTTCCCGAAGGGTCAGCTCTTTCTTGGCCTCTGAGGAGCTGAGTGGAAAGGGGCCATCACCCAGAAATGCTTAGGAAGGAACAGTAGCTTCTCTGCCAGGAGAACCAATGTTCATTACATTATGAATTTAGCATAAAATGCCTTCATTTCCTAAAAAAGTCAATGTAGCACAAGATACATTTATTTAGTCTTTCAGATGTTTGAGTTGTCCCCTTTGAGATTTTTGGGTTTTGCTCATGCCATATATAAATCACTTTCATGATCCCATTGACTTGCTTCAAACCATCACTCATGTATTTTGTTTGCCAGGCAGGAGGCATTGACTGTCTTGTATGAAACTTGAGGCGTTTGAGAGGGGTAGACTTGTCTGAATATATGAGTGTTTCAGTTGTAGCTGCTCCAAAAGTGCAAGTCAAGTCCTCCAGTGTCCCAGAGCAGTGCTCGGTGAGTGTGTGTGTTGGGATAGAGGCCTGAGATCTGCGGGCCATGGGATCCTTAAGATCTCCCCAGAGCTGACCCTGCCCAAGTGGACTCGTGGCCCCTGATGGGCCTTTCCTCAGAGCCAGCGACAGGCTCATTGTCCTCCTTTAGGCACAAGGCCTTCAGGGGTCTAGTGGCCTCTCAGGACTCTCCTTAGTACTCATTGAAAAGTATAACTCAGTGTTTTTAAGAGGCTGCTCCTAAAAACCAACAAGAAACCTAAGCGAAGTCTACAACTAAGAAGCAGAGTGTATAGGACCTAGGGCAGGGGGCCTGTGGCATGCAGGAGGGAGTCCCATCCCTTCCCTGTGAGGGACAGCCTGTTCTTATATGGCAGGGAGGGAAGGCTTCCTACAGTGTGGCCTTAGGGGTGTCTGACTCTTGCTGCACACAGAAGCACAGGAGATTTCAGTTGGGCTCTCTGGGGTTGGGCGTGAGATGAGGGAGAGGGCTGTTGCGTTCACGGTGGGACACTGGAGGAAAGGCAGGAAAAGGGAGCAAGACCTAAACTGTCAGCAGCATGGTCTCTTGGCGTAGGATTTGAATCCAGAGGCTGTGGGAGTGGCCCGACATTGGTGGGTGAGCCTGGTACCTGCTAAAGGTCTATCACAGAAACACCCTGAAAGGGAGAAAAGTTAAGGCTGTGAGTTAGTATCTAGTTCCTCAAACAAACAAAAATGTTGTCCACATGTATGTATAAGATGAAAGGGTGTGTGAGGTGGGACCAGGTTGTGATGCTGTTGGTGCTCAGGACTGGCAGGAGCCTGATTCTCTCAGGCTCCTTGAGCAGGGTGGGGAGGCAGGGTGAGCCATCTGCCTACCCCTGTCTCTGTGTGTGGGCCTGAGATGCCCACTTGGCTCCCTGTACCCTGCAGTGCCTGTCAGTGAAGGTGAGAAACGAGGCCACTAGGACTTGGCAGGTGTGTTCCACTTCTGAGTCATCGGTCCTGAAGAGACTGCTGCTCTCACAGACAGCGCTTTGCAGTTGCTCCGCCATGGTGGCTTCTTCCCCCAATTGGTCAGGCTTCTGTGTGGGCGCCAGGGGCAGCCCTTTGGACTCAGTGTGAAGTGTGCAGCACCATATGCTTTTGTAGTCAGTAGTTTTGTCACCTCAGATTTTAGAGTATGTGCTGCCGAAGCAAGCACTGTCACCTCAGATTTTGAAAATTGAAAACCAAAAAGTTATTGCTGAGGACTGCTGTTTATCTTTTGCATTGCAATCTTTAGCTGGAGGAGTGGCAACGCTGCCATCACATCAGAAAGGCTTTCCTGACCCGCTCTCAGAGCTGTCGCTGCTGCCTACTGACTCCTAAAGTTTTTTTCTCCTTCTTTGAAGAAATATACTGACTCTCCCATATGTTGTAGAAATTTTGGAAAATGCTGTGGACGTTGGTCCCCTTGGGTACTGTCTTCATTGTTATGCCCAGGCAACTAGAAGTGTCACTGATTTGCTTGCCAATGATTGGACATGGACTGGTCCTAGCACAGAAAAGGATGTGTGTGTGTGTGTGTGTGTGTGTGTGTGACATGGACTGGTCCTAGCACAGAAAAGGATGTGTGTGTGTGTGTGTGTGTGTGTTCATCTATCTTGTCCAGGGAGAGGGAGGGACACCTCTGTGGGAGGTTTCTACCAGCCAGGGCACCCTCCCAATAGGCCCCACCTATCACCTGCCAGTGTCACTATCTGGCCTTGTGCTGGAACCACACGTGTGGTCTTTCTAGCCTGCATGTAGACGCCACACTTTGGGCACGTAACTCCTTGGCAGTATTCTGAAGTATGCTAGTGTCTGGGGACAGTCTGTGAGCAATGATGGATAGGGCGGGCCTGGCCTGACCTGGCCATGGGGTGTTGGTCAGCAGCATGAGAGAAAGCTGGCCCCATGGGTGTCCTGCATGTGCCCGGGTGCTCTACCTCCAGTCAGGGCACACAGCCTGTGGGCACAGCCCCTCTCAGCAGGGGATGCAGTGCCCAGGATACAGCTGGGACACAGGTGGGTGGGCAGACTTTAGAGACTTGCTTTACCTCTGACAAGGGCAGCCGGGAGCCGAGAGCAGCAGCCACATGGCCGGCTCTGGCCGCAACTGCCTGGTCCTTGCTGCCCTCTCAGGCAGCCTGACAGCACGGAAGCTGGCTGAGACCAGAAGAGGAAGTACAGCCTGGGGCATCCTGTGGACTCAGGGAGTCATCCCCACCTAACATAGCATGCAGGGCAGCGAGGAGGGCTCTGTGCTGTGTGACCTGGAAGGGCTGTTTGTAATAAAGGTTATTTCAAATTCTAGCATTTTAGCTGATGACTCATTCTAAAATTATTTAATTCCACTCTAACGTTACACTGTGATGTTAACTTGGAAGACCTGTTTGAGCGTAGTCTTTTGATTTTAAACTCATTAAATCTGTTGAGCACAGGATTATTATTTGTAAATCTAAAACACTCTGAAAAGTACGTCTAGTAACCATTTCTTCCTTTATAAAAACAACTTACACATGCAAAGAATGTTGCTTTATAGAAATATTGTTCAAGGTTGTAACTGTATTTCAAAAATGATGCAGTATTTAACTTGTGAAGGGATTTGTTTTGTCAGAAATTAAAAACTCACTGTGTATGGAGCACATGGAAGGGCACGCAGCGGCCTGCTGGCACTCTGAGCCTCCCGACGGCCATACGGGCCTGGCAGTGGGTTGGTGTGCTCACAGGGCTGCATCATGTCTGGTAATGCTGTTTTGAGAGTCCCTGCCCCCACGGAATGTATTCTAAGGCACGGAGGTAGCTTGGTACTGTCACATGCCAAGTAGAGAGCAGAGAAAGTATTCTCGGACTTAACAAAACTTGCAAAAGTCAGGAACTGAGCTGCTTGGAGATCTGGGTTGCCATTGTGGCCTTGCAGGTGGGAAGTGATAGGAAAGCTGTTGACGGAGTCTGTGTCTGTTCCGTCACCACGCTTTCCCTCCCCTGCTACACACCCTGTTGGATATGGAATAGATTGTAGATATTCTAGACAGAGCCCTGGGCCTGCCGGGACCGCATGGGACCCGTGTCACTTCCACAGTGGCATCTCCAAGTGGGTCCCCGCACCCAGTGTGCATGGAGGAGGAACCACGGCTGGAGTGAGCTGCCTGGGCCGCCCTGGTGGGTTTCCGGGCGCGCCTGGGGGCCCTCCGACCTGGCTAGGTGTCTGTCCCCTGGCTCGTGGGGAGGGCTGTGGGGGCAAGAGGGGTCTTGTGCACTGTGTCATGGACTGTGATATTGTAAGGTCTGTATTCTGTATGTGGATCTCAGACCCCAACCAGGACACGAGCCTCATGTGTGTCGTTCCATTTCTATTTCCATTCGAAGTATGTATTCCGTGTTTTATTTCCTCCAAACCGACTTTGTTAATGTAGGAAAGTTCTCCACGTGGAGACGTGCTGACTCTCTGTAAATCTTCAATAAAAGGTGCTGTTCCTCCCTCTGACCCCGGACTGGTGTGTGTTTTCTGTCTCTCTCTCCATGCTCCCCTCTCTCCCCCTCCCCGTCTTCCTCTCTCTCTCTCTCTCTCTCTCTTTAGCTTTGAGATTTGTTCCAGCCACACTGAGGGAAGCACGGGGCTGGTGCATGGACTGCGGGGCTCTCTCCCCTCGGCCCTGCCGAGGCCCCTGCTTTGGGCAGCCGTGGGGTCACGGTCTGAGCGGGCCCTGGCCAGGCAGCGCGTCCCCATCTTCCCGATGTCCCGGACTTCCCCACTCCCACTCCGGTCCCACCTCAGAAGTGCTCCGACCCCACCTGTGACGTTGAATTTGGGCTGTGAACTCAGCCGTGCAGGCACCCTCTCTGGAAGTGGGGGGTGAGCTGTCGGGTGACGGATGGGCCCTGCGGTTCCACCCACCAGCCCCTGGCCACAGCCTCAGAAGGCGGCACTGCTGTAGTCGGTCTGGTATTGGTTTAAGCTACCCATACCTTCCCAAAAAAAAGGTGAGAACCAGTTTAAAATACCACCGTTTAGGGGCCGGGGGTTTAGCTCAGTGGTGCCGGCGCCTGCCTTGCAAGGACCCAAGTTCGATCCCCGGTACCAAAGAAAAAGAAAAGACCACTGTTTCAACAGACCATTGTCGTGAGATGTGTCTAGTGGGACCAGAACAGTGGTCGCTGGTGGCTTCGACGCTCCATGAGCCCTTGGGAGCCAGCCCACTTCCACACTGGGTTCAACTCAGCAAAAAACTCATTTTTTCCCCCCTTTCACTGCTCCCTGTAATTTCAGTTTGCTAAATCTGCAAAAAGCTTATTAATAAGGTTACAGAATTGGTCAGCTTCCCTGGTAGAATTTGTTTTCTTGGTTTTTTTATTACGGCCCAATTTCATTATCTAGTTTTCTGCTTGTTGGCAAACGGCAAGCCTGTAACATCATTATTCGTGGATGCAGTTAATGAGGAGTACAGGAAATGGTGTTTGTGCTTCCGTTCCATCTCCAAAATTCAGTTTTCAAGACTGACTTACCTGATGACAAATAACCAAAATTTTTTAGGCGAGGTTTTCTGTCTTCATTCATTTTACTGTGTGTCGCTCCTGCTTATCAGATGAGGGCAAAGACAGTGTTCGACCGGGGAAGGCTGCAGCCCCATCCTGATGATCCCAAGTCCCAGCTCTCTCCTGGGCCTTTTCCTCAGACCCCGTGCTAACAGCACAGGCACATGACCTTCCCTTCTGTGGCACAGCAGTGGGAGGAGGAGACAGGCAGGCAGGAAGCCTGGGTGGGTGTGGGTCCGCACAACTTCCTGACCTCCCTCCAGTCAGGATCGCAGTTATGAACATGCTTCCCGAGGGGCCTGGTCTCCACTGCGCAGGAGTCAGCCAGCGAAAAGCGTTATGCTTGGGCACCTCACCCATTTTTTAAAAATGCTTTTGGTTTTTGGACCTGAGCAGAGTGGGTAAGAAGGGCCAGCTTCTTCATCCCAGAGCCCACCTCAGTTCACCTGGTTGGGCAGACTGGACTTTCCTAAGTCTTCATTTTTAAGGCGTGTGCCTCATATGTACGTATGTATACTGCAAAGTCCGTTTCTAAATTCTCTGCACAGCTCTATTGACACGTTGCACTACACAAAACCTGTGGGTGCTGCTCTTCCACAGCAAGTCACTCTGGGAGGTGGGCGGGGTGGGCCGTGTCTGAGGACACAGCCTCCTCCACTTTCGGTGACGAGTGAATCGTCGTCCGCCTCCTTCTTCCCAGGTCTCGGACAGCCCAGGAGACGAACCCTCAGAGTCCCCCTACGAAAGTGCGGACGAAACACAGACTGAAGTGTCCATCTCATCTAAAAAGTCTGAACGAGGAGTGGCGGCCAAAAAGGAGTATGTGTGTCAGGTGAGGGGCGGCGCGTCTGACCTATCCATAAGGGTGTCTGAGTGGGGCTCCCCGTGAGCACTTGTTGTCTTCCAGCCCCCTCTACTCCAGTGTTTCGAAGGCCCTGAGGTCGAGCTCTCGGGTGGTCAGGGTCATGTACAGGTTCACAGGTGACACCCCCGGTAGATGAGGAGAGCTGGCAGAGCAAAGTGCCAGGTGCACAGGGTTCCGGCGCTGACAGACACACTGGGTGGGCGAGGCCTAGGCTGAGAAAGTGTCCCCAGACTGAACAGCAGTGCCTGGCAGTCAGGGCCTGGGTCCAGGTCCTGCCCCCGCTTCACACAGGCTTGGCCGCTGGGCATAGGCCTCTCACCTTGTGTGCCCCAGTGCCTGCCTGTTGGCGGGGCTCTGTGGACTGGCAGAGGCATGCTGGCCTCAGCTTGGCCCCTGCTGTGCTGTGGGCCTGCCTTTTCCTGAGAGTGTGCTGTGGGTTTTCCTGGTTTCCATGTCTGGCCTGAAGTATCTGGGGCTCATGCTTCAAGACTTGGGCCCTGTTGTTTCCAGCCCCATCCCGTAACAGTGACTTACTCGATGCTGCGTGTCATGAATTCTGTGCAAGCTGGGTGTTTCCCTGTGCACAGGCAGTCAGGTGCTGTGAGCAGAGGAGCGGATTTCCTGCCACTGCAAACGGCATCTGACAGTTCCTTTGAGATAAGAAGGGTGTGGGCTCATGTCATCCTTTGTGCCTACAGCTCTGCGAGAAGACGGGCAGCCTCCTGCTGTGTGAAGGCCCTTGCTGCGGTGCGTTCCACCTTGCCTGCCTTGGGCTTTCCAGGAGACCAGAGGGGAGGTTCACCTGCAGCGAGTGCACCTCAGGTGAGCCCATCCCCTGTACGGAGATGGGGGAGCAGGCTCCCTCCACCTGACTCCTCGGTGCTATCTTCCACCGGGTGACAGGCCTGACTGCTGAGTGGAAGAAAGCTCTTTCTACTGTAGTTCAGGGCTCCCTCTCACGCTGCGTGCCCAGTGCTGGGCTCTGCTGCCTCCAAGTCGGGGTCCCTGTAGTCTGGGCTTGTGATGGGAGGACAGGCAGCGCTGTGGCCCCTCCTGCCTGAAGAGTCCCCTGACCACTAGAACACCTCAGGGTCACGAGGACCCTGAGAGCCCCGTGCCAGCAGCCAGTGTAGCTCTGCCCCATGGCTGTGAGCAGCCTGAAGGAGGGAACTGTTCTGCAGAGCACCTGCCCTCTTCCAGGTTTTCTCCAGCCAGGGGCCTGGGCTGCACACTAAGATTTCCCTGTGTTCTGGTCACATGGTTGCTCAGGCGGTTGCATGACAGCCCTCAAGGTCTGGGTTCCAAAAAAGGTGTGGGCTCCTCGGCAAGACTGGGGACAGAGCCAGCTGCCTCCAGGAAAGAGCTGCTGTCTTTGAGGGGTCCAGAGCTGTGGTCTCACTGTGTGTTGTGTCTCCCCCACTTCCTGCCAACCATGTATTAGGGATCCACTCATGCTTCGTGTGCAAGGAGAGCAAGGCAGAGGTGAAGCGCTGTGTCGTGACCCAGTGTGGGAAATTCTACCACGAAGCCTGTGTGAGAAAGTACCCTCTCACTGTGTTTGAGAGCCGGGGCTTTCGCTGCCCCCTCCACAGCTGTGTGAGCTGCCATGCCTCAAACCCTTCAAACCCTCGGCCCTCAAAAGGTATGGATGCCATAGGCGGTGCCGGTGTGGCTCTCAGGAAGTGCTTGGCTCCCGTGGGGTTTGTCACCACAGGAGCAAACTGACAGTCTCAAGGGGTCCTTGTTTCTCTGCTTACTGGACACAGGTGGGTCAGGGCTTTTCTGTGACACAGGACTTCCTTCCATCCTCCCCTCTCTCCACCCTGGATAGTAAGTAGCTTTAGGATCCTTAGTTTTGAGAGGGGCCCTCTCTGAAACCATCCTGAAGGATCCTGTTTGCTCTGGTTTTAGGGCCCTTCACAAACAAGGGAAACATTGTGAAATCTGATTCCATTTCCACAATTAAGGATAGCTGTGTAGGATTGGAGAGGACAGGTTCTGCTTTCTTCTTGGTATCATGCTTCTGCACCAGTGACAGTTTTGCCGCGTCTGGCACAGTTTGGAGGTGTGCTGCTTCCATTTGGTAGGGAAATACCAGCAGTGCTGGTATACATCAGATGGTGCGCCAGCTGCACGCCAGTGTTGGGTCTGAGCACGCTGGAGTGTGGCTCTCAGGCGCATGTGGGTCTTCTTGACATTTGGAACCCCCTTGGTCTTGGTGAGAGGTTCTGTGATCAGACACCTCAGGGCTGTTGCATGATTACCTTTCCCAGTTTCTGAGGCTTTGTGGTTTCCGAGGAAGGCGGCAGTGTCTGGGTCTTCAGGCTGTGTTTCTTGCCCTCAGGTAAAATGATGCGGTGTGTGCGCTGCCCTGTGGCATATCACGGAGGGGATGCGTGTCTGGCAGCAGGCTGCGCGGTTATTGCTTCCCACAGCATCGTCTGCACGGCCCACTTCACTGCTCGGAAGGAGAAGCGGCACCACAGCCACGTCAACGTGAGCTGGTGCTTTGTGTGCTCTAAAGGTGAGGCCATGCCACCGTCCGTCATGCTGCCTGGCATGTGGCGTGCCTGGAGCTCAAGGGCCGCGTCAGAGTTAGGGCTGGGAACACACGGTGGTGTTTTTCACCATAGTTGCTGCACAGGCCACGCATGGAAGGCTGTTGGTGGGACATGGTGCCAGCCTGAGGGCCGGTGCACAGAGCCATAGCTGTCTCATGCTTAGAGCTTCAGAGCTAGGGTGCGATCCGGGCTCAGCCACTGCCTCCCTTGCAGGGGGAAGCCTTCTGTGCTGCGAGGCCTGCCCGGCGGCCTTCCACCCCGACTGCCTGAGCATCGACATGCCCGACGGCAGCTGGTTCTGCAATGACTGCAGGGCCGGGAAGAAGCTGCACTTCCAAGACATCATTTGGGTCAAACTTGGGAACTACAGGTGTGAGGAATAGAGTCCTGTGCTTTTACATTTGTGTTCAAATGTCTTTGTTTCACTGTACAGTACTTAAAGTATTGAAATGATTGTCGCTCTCTCTGAAGAGTCTGTGAATACTGTTTTTAATATTTATAATAGATGGTGGCCGGCAGAAGTTTGCCATCCCAAAAATGTTCCCCCAAATATTCAGAAAATGAAGCACGAGATTGGAGAATTCCCTGTGTTTTTCTTTGGGTCTAAAGATTATTACTGGACGCATCAGGCGCGAGTATTCCCGTACATGGAGGGGGACCAGGGCAGCCGCTACCATGGGGTCAGAGGGATCGGAAGAGTCTTCAAAACCGGTACGGAGATTTCCCAGTAGAGTGGAACAGCTCTCTAGCGTGCCTTTTGTTAAACCTGACTTCTGTTTCTTTGGGAAATTTGATCTTTGTAGAAAATGCTGGACTAAGTATTCTGTTTGTACTTCTTCTTGTTTGTTTGGTACTGGGGATCAAACTTGGTCCTTGCACTTGTGAGGCAGGCGGCAAAACCACTGAGCTAAATCCCTGGCCCACTAGCTGTACTTT